TACACATTTTACATTTTTATTCCTAAAACTTAGGTTCTCTGCTCATGATAAAAATCTTATAAATATTATGTAGGTAGGTACACTTACTTTTTGCGCACTGTGGGTAAGACCCGGTAAGTGAGAGGATACTAGTGTAGGTTCTAAGATATTTATTTAATACTTCAATCTCAAATCACAAACTAATATAAAAATTTCGAACGGGGTAGGTGTATCGATAGAAGAGAATCTTAACACCGCGATGTAGATTATAACGTTATCTAACAACGCCATCTAGTTAACTTCACTAGAACTTTTATTAGCATTAAAAAATTCGTCCGTATCGACGTCAATAGGGAAAGTACCCAGAAGGCTGGCAGCATTGCCACGTTGTATGGCAATGCTTAACCCCTGACCGAGAAACACACCAGCCCTCTCAGATATACATAAATCCTAGTAACATACATAAATATAAATGATAAGGTGGTAGTTATCTAATCATCTAATGCAGGAAGCCAGTACTCAGGGAGTTGGTCTAAAATCCTGGACGCCAGACGTCTCTATAAACACTTTCATCTTTGTGTGGTCGACCCACCCTAAAAAAAGAAAAAAGAATCCGAACGTTTGTATGTTTGTTACACCTTGACGTCAAAACAGCTGAAGAGATCGGGATGAAATTTGGACCAGGGAAAGATTATAATCTGGAATAACACAGGCTTCTTTCCCACGCCAACGCGGGCGAAACCTCTGGTCGAAGCTAGTAAATCTATACATAAATAACACCAATAACAACAAAAACTGTGGTAGACAAATGGAAATTAAAAAAAAAAACTAAATGGCACACAATTTCTCGTAAATTCTGTCCAGCGTCTGCGGTGGGTGGCGGTGGGTACCACATTACCTATAGGAATACAAACATTCGTCTTTGCTGTAGGTACAAGAGTAAGGAAACCCGAGTGTATCGTTTTGTGAATATTAGGGCGTAGACACAATGTAAGAAAAATATGAAATATTACAAAAATGGGTACCTAATAAGCCTTTATCAGGCTTATTGGAAATCAAATACTTGAGCAGTCATGTCACTCGCGACTTATCGTTTTGTACGTTAAGTTGGTTTAATAAAGTTCAGATCATTGTTTCCGAGTTTTTTTAGTTAGGTACATAACTTTTCATCCAATTTTAACCAATTTCTTATCACCAAAATATAAAAAGGTTTGATTACTTATTGCATGCAGGCATATCGAATTTATCCGGTTTTTCGATTCATATTTATAACGGTTCACATCCAAAACCTACACGGATGACAATTACATTTCCGAAAAAATACATTATCTAGTTATATATGCCAAGAATGATTGAAATTACTATGAGCGTATACAAAAGTCACAACGCATTTTTTTGTCTCCACATAGATCCTCTGTCGTGTATACAGGCCCTAGGCTCCGTCGCAGTGTAGTCTGGATGCGTTCCAAGTGGGACATCCTGTCGCCAAATATCTTGTGGATTTGATAGAGGAGTGCTAAACTGTTGTAAATTGAAGTCTCCGAGAAAAATGCGGAATTATTATTATTATTATTATTACCATTTATTTCAATCAATTACATAGATCATTAATTACACATTACAAACCATAATACAATATAAAAGTCACAGTCACATATCAAAAATCACAATCACAAGTCAGTCATCACTAAAATAATCTCCCAACTCAAAACAATAATTTCACATTAGCCAGTACATGAACCATACAACAGTGGTTCATGTACTGACAGTCAAAACGTTCAGCAAAGGCGCTCAGGATACTATTGCGGCTGCCCCGCACCCTGTTCACTAATGACGTGCACCGCTTGCGCATGATTGTGTTGAAGCAGTCTACCCGTGCGCTGGCAAACATACCCGATGCGCTACAAAAGCGAGGCAGCCCCAAGAGCATCCTGAACGCGTTATTGTATTGAACACGCAGAGCGCTGTACTGTTTCTGCGTATAACTCAACCACAAAGCCCCCGTATAGAAAGACGTACAAAATGCTCTAAACAAGGTTATCTTGACATTCTCCGAACATCTTGCAAATCTACGGGCTATCATATTCGCACGAACAGACAGCGCCCTACGCTCCCGCTCAATATCAGCATCATCTTCCAGGTCTGAGGTCAGAATATGTCCAAGATATTTAAAAGTATCTACTCTCTTGAGAGGGTGTCCATTTAGAATTATTTTTGGTATCGGAGCCGGACATCTCTTCTTGGCCCGAAAGACCATGCACTCGCTTTTCTTCGTGTTGTAAACTAAACCATGCTTTTCAGCATACTGCTGACAAATGCCAATCATCCTCGACAACCCGCAAACAGAGGCGCTCAGCAGCACCATATCGTCAGCATAGCTGATATTGTTTATGCACACCCCTCCGACATGACAACCTACATGCGTTCTGCTGAGCTCCTCTATCAGCGCATTCACATACAGGTTAAAGAGCCTCGGAGAGGTCAGTCCTCCCTGCCTAACGCCACACTCCAACCTGTACGGAGCCGAGTACGCCCCCGACCACCGAACAACATTAACTTGGTTGTTATACCAGTACCGAAAAATCCGAATAATTCCGTCCGGCACTGAAACCTGCTGCATTTTATGCCACAGCAGATCATATGATACCAGATCGAATGCCTTCGATAGATCCAGAAAGCAGACAAAGACAGGCGTACTTCTATCAGTATAATACTTCACAGTTTGCTTTAGACACAGTATCGCAGCCTCCGTGGACAGACCGGATTTGAAACCAAACTGATTGTCGTGTAAATGGATGAAATTGTCCAGCTGAGTGTCAAGCAAACCGTCAAGCACCTTCGAGATAACAGTAGCCAATGAAACCGGTCTGTAATTATTCTTATCACTAATGTCCCCGGTTTTATTTTTGACAATTGGCACCACTACAGTCTTCATCATTTGCTTTGGCATAAATGAATGTCCCATACAAAAGGAGTATAACATTGCCAACACCCTAGGCAAATGACGACCCGCATGTTTCAGATGCTCGATACTTAGATTATCGTGGCCGGGAGACTTACCCCTTGACATGGACATAATAACTTGCCTTATCTCTCTGGCTCTAAAGCGGATACATGTCTGTCGACCAGTCCAGTCCATATCACACGCAGACTGCGATGGCCCCAACGGAGACGTTACGACAAAGTGTTGCCTAAACAGCTCAGCAATACCAGTGACGTCAGCAACGCCACTGACGCTCACGGGCAGGCTCTGCCCACCATTGAGTTTATTAGTGGATTTCCAAAAATTGCGGAAATCGCCCCGTGAATGGTGTGACGCCAACATATCCATTTTAATTTGTTCAGTATTATTCTGGCACCAACGTAGGCGCGACTTAAAAATCCTTCGGCTTTCTTGCATTTCATCCCAAATGCGCCCCTCTCTTGGTTTACCAAAACACACCCACTGTTCAAATTTCAGCCTTGCCTGCCTGTGAGCATCACCGACGTGCTTATTCCACCCCACTACCGGCTTTCTATTACGCACATGGTTTAATTCACAACTCTCAGAAGCCGCCCGACATAAAACACCAACAATATCATCATACAATTTCTCAATAACAATTCTGTGGTTCAAATCATTACATACATTGTCACAACATGTTGTCAGTTCACTAGGGAAGTCAATATGTTTTAAATAGTCATTGCATAATTTTGTATAATTATTAATTTGTGAAATATTTCTGTTATTCCACTTTATTTTATTACTTAACAAGATATTACTGTTTGGTGAGTCATATAATTTTGGTTTAATGTCATCTAAATTACACTGTATCACAAGAGGAAAGTGATCAGACCAAAGAACATCATATATAACATATACATTCGTAACAATAGACATAGCTGCCCTTGTTGTCACACAGTGATCCAGCCATCGTCTCGAACCGTTGGCCTCGCTTATAAACGTATACGTATCAGAATCTACTCCCAAAAGTTCTACATCAGCACAGAATAGCTCGGATTCAAGAGCAAAAGAAGTCAGTTCATTGTAGAATTGCTCTTGCGGGTGCGCATTAAAATCTCCGAGGACAAAAGCGGTTTCAATATTACTATTATTAATTATAGCACTCACCAAGCTGAGGCAATCCGTGAACTCCACGACGTTTGCACTATTATCCGTCGGCATATATACACTTAGCACTAGAAAGGCCCTTGATTTCATGCATACTTTAATTGCACACACTCGCGGGTTATCACACTGCACTACCGAGACGTTGTCGAAAACACTTTTCCGCCACAACAGTGCAACCCCACCGTATGGCCGCCCTCGCAGCATACCGGACGCGGTGTCCACCGCCGACGTCCCAGTGCACGCGAAGTCCTCATCTATATCGCCCAGGAATGAGGTGTCATGGGGTAGTAACCACGTTTCTTGCAGGGCTACTATGTCCACCTTGCGACACAATTGCCTGATACATTCTACAGAACGTTTTACACTTTTGCAGTTATAGCTTAACAACTTATACATAGTTGTTTACTTTACGCCGATAGCAGCACTGCCGCTTGCACCGCTCGAGTTATTTCTAATCTTAAAATGCATAAACCTCCGAAAAATAATTCCCTCTGGCCATAACTTATCGTCAAGAAACATCTCCACCTTCGTTTCAGAGACAAAGAATTTATATGCACTATATTCTTTGGGATATTTAAAAGATATACCTTCAAGCGAGATCACTTCGCCCGTCTTGTGAAAGATATAATCAACAATATCTTTTTGCGAGGTGTCTTTATGTACCTTCGTAATGAAAATCGGTACTGTTTTTATTGCAGCTTTGAATTTACATTCGTTTTCCCTGGCGGTACCCGTGCTTCCCATGTATCGATATCTCATATTACGTTTTTTACGATATGAAACTTTTTCCCATTCGTTAATATTATCTGATTTATTATTGTTTCGCGCTGATTCAAGTACAATGGGCTCCGTCGGTGTCGTAGTCGCTGTCGCCCGCACTACTGTACGTTGCTGCGGTGACGTCACGGACCTGTCGACCTTCCGCAACAAAGTAGTTGATCTAACGTTATCAGCACAGCTGACTGAGGCCTCCACGGCGCCCCCGCGCGCTCGCTCCCCGCCCTCAACCACTCGTCGCGACCACACATCGGGCTGCATACCGCGAACTCCAACTTCTGCGTCTACCTCCTTTGTTTTAATGATAGATTTTTCACTATCCTCTCGTATTTGCAATGGAGATTCGATGGTCTCACTTCCACCCCTACGAACTGGTGATACATCGACATGACTTAAACCAATCGGGCCACTTTCTGTAGGCCAACCGCTTCTGTTCAAGTTCCTGTTACGCAAAGATGCTGGTATTAAGGAGTCATTTTGTAGTTTCAAAATCTCCACTTTAAAATCTTGCAGTTGTGTCTGCGTTACACATGCTTCTTTAATTTCTTTAACTTCATTTTGCAAACGAAGTAAATCCTTTAACAGTTTAGTGCAATCGAGATGATCAAATAATATTGGAGGTAGTTTATCTAAGTCCCGAGCCACAAAAATTGGGAATTCATCCGGCTCCACAGATTTAAAAACACTAATTATGTCCACTAGGTCTCGTTGCTCCTTTCCTTTATTTTTCCTTCTTATTTTCGCCTTTTCCACGGGAACAGATTGAACAGACAAAAGTGTTTTTGATTTTTCAATATCTTCACTTGTAAACGTCGATGCACATACCCGCACTAACGTATCTTCATCAATTATTGAAATTTTATTTTGTATATACGCTAATAACTCGTCTATTACTACGTTACAGGAAATACATTTAACCACTGTCGTCATTTTGCCTTTATTAAATATGTATTCCGTCACACAAATGTCGTTCGATAAAAATGCATCCTTACAGTACGGACGCGTGCGCGAGAGAATATCACTGAGTCAGAGAGATTCAGATAAAGAGAACTGTGATTCAGATTTTCAATAAAAAATGTTTAATAAGATTTGATACTGTGTTTGAAGAAAGGATTTTAGACGTGAAATTCAATGTCTTTGGATCTGAACTTACTTTTTATGCGTGTTTTAATTAGGTATTAAACACCATACATTTTTTTGTAATTTGAAGTAAGTAGGACATTAATAAAACGACAATATCTGAAAATGACATGAATAAGGACGTTGTTCAAAATGTTGCAAAACCTACATATATGAAAGTAACCGTTGCGTAGAAAGAGACAAATATAATATCATTCAGTGTGTTTCGTGCACTATCTTCGTAGTCATTATATAAAGTAAACGTTTTTTAATACATAACAGCAAAGAAAGAGTATGAAGAACGGAGTACCAGAAACAGTATTACATAAATTAGAGATTCGCAATTTTAAAGAATATCAAATGACAGAAAAATACTATTATAACTCTAAAAAGGTACCAATTTACCTTTTTTACTTTTGAGTTTTGATCGTCAATTTATTCATTTTCACATCAAAATATTCTCTCGTTTTTTAATTTTTGTAGGAAATCTTGCTTTAAAGATACTGTATTATAGTAACCAATGTAAATGAATCATTTTATAATATAAAAACTACTCCACTTACCGATATAAAATTAGTATTAGACAATGTGATAACTCCAAAAGCTGTCATGTAGACCGGCACGACTTCTTGCTGATGTAAGAAGCACCATTTTCTTCGTAATAAAGGTCCCCCATACCCAAATAAAACATGAACTTGCATAGTGCTTTGAAATAATATTTTTGCGGGTGAGTTTTCTTCAACGAAGGCACGTCCATTCCGGTAATTTTTAAAATCAAAATGTTCCAAAGTTTTAATCGTTCTCCATTCGAAGGGATATGATTTATGGAAACTGGTCTTTTTGACTTTAAAACTCAATTACACAAATTGATTAATTCGTTCGATAAATGGTATAGTTTCCTTTGATAAATGGCTCCATAGTTGTGAATACATTTATTAGTTTGTTAGTTGTTACGTATGCACAAAGTTATTGAAACCTTCAGTCATAATTTTCTGAACTGGAAAAAAATACTGATTCAGAAATTAAAAGCATTTTTGTTAGTATAACTAAGGCAGTTTCTTATCCTCAAAATTTTCATTCACTTAATGAGATAATCAAAATGTACCTAGCGGAACATCTCTGGGGCCAGTGTTCATAATTTCACGACAAATTTCGATTTATATTAAAGACTGCTTTAATTAGTCTCAAGTAATTAATTCGCTTCATTTTTAATGTTCTTTATGAATGCGATCAAAGTTAATTACTAACGTTATTATTGCTAATCTTTTGATATTTAAATGTTTATTCGACTCCATAATCGCGGATTTGTTTCAAACTCGGTCAGAGTGTCATTAATTGTTCTTTTTATACGATATCAGGTTTTATGAATATTTGAACTGAGTCTCGTATAATTAACGAATTTCAATGTCCCACCATTTTTTTTACAGAAGCATTGCACTTTGTCGTTCAGAACAATTCTTTCGTCGACAAATATCATTTCTATTGTCATCGTTTTATATGAAATATATTCTCGGGGACTCTTGCTCGCCGGATCTGATGCAAATTGAAGTGTCTAAGAATTTAAATCCCTATGAATTTTAAAATATACACAGCGCTCAGGTGCGGAAGTGAAATTATTTAGCTATGGTAATGTGACATTAGTTCTCGAGAGCATTTTGTAGAAATACAGGAATCAGTTTTAAGGGAATATTTTATAAAATGAGAGAATATATGCAATATGTAAGATATAAGACAAATACATAGACAGAATCATAGAGGAAATGGGTATATGTATCAGATTAAGATGTTCCTCCAAAATATACACTGAAGATATAAATAACATACATCATAACATAGGCAGAGGTGCACATAGAAGTAACACCCACTTTTCACTATTTATGTTATGAGTCCCATGTAATAGGGGGTGAGCTTATTGCCATATACCGGGCGCATTTCCAGACTCCGTGCTACTACTGAGAATTTTTTAAAAACCCAGTAATACTTTGCCCGTCCCGGGAATCGAACCCGAGACCCCTTGCACGGCAGTCGCACTTGCGAGTTGCACTTGTGAAGATATAAATAAAACAATAAAAATTAGAAAATTACATGAAACAAACACTCGTAGAAACTAGAATAACTTCAATAGCCAGTCGACTAGATTAAAAAATAAAAAATGTCCACTAAGTATTGTTTAAAATTGTACCATACTCTACTCTTTCTTTAATAAACACATGAATATCCAAGGAGTACCGCAGCCATATGTATGTCATAGTGTGAGCTCGTAACTCATCCAAACTTACGCCTGGATCCCTTGCGGAAAACACAGACCAACATGTGATATAAGTCTAGATTCAAGCCTCGTATAGATACAACCTTAGGCAAGGCTTAGGCTAAAAAGGTTATAAATTCATATAGAAAAGCAGGTCCGTTTAATCAAGGGTCCTAGTCACCATAAAGATGAATATATGTAACTGGCAGCCCGTCCCGGCTTCGCACGTGGTAGACAATTATTTATTTTTGGAAATTTGGATTGTTGTAGTGACATAACTACAATAGTTGGACATATGCTACCGCGGAGTTTTTTGTAGACATTATGATGTTCCTCAATATTGTTGTACATTATTTTGTTCTATCGCTAATAGTTTCGGATGTGCATTCGACGAAAGACATTTTAAGACTCATTTTTCTACACCTTTGGTTACACTGTTCAAATTTTACCAAGGGTCCCTAATTTTTTTTCAAAATGAAATGTAGCCTATGTCAAATTGGAAGAATGTAGCACTCTATTGGTGAAAGAATTTTTTAAATCGGCCCAGTACTTATGAGCCTATTCATTACAAACATACAAAAATAGGTACAAATCTTTCCTCTTTATAATATTAGCATAAATAAGTTATTTTCAACTATGTTGGTATTTTGTTATGGAACTTTTATGCTGAAATACTCAAACGTTACTCAACTTTAAGTCGCGCTTAAGTATAGTTCTGTCACTACAAATTCTTAGTAAAATGACAGAGATGGCACGATATTTAAGTACAACTTAAAATTGAGTAGCTTTTCAGTATTCGGGCTCTAGATTAATATTAGCGTTTGAAACTATCATAGAAGTCATAAAATCTTTACTTTGATTTTAAAGTTAACCACTTCAATTCCATAATCAAACGATGATACTATATCATACGATATCATGGTTACCTAATTTATATACATATAAATGTGAAGTTTCGTGATGAAACAACAATTAGAAATGTGTATGTTTCAGTTTTTTAGATTATAACATAGAATAACTATGTGAATAGTTCGTTGCAGATCAACCCAAGAAAAATGTGTTAAATAGACAATTTAGAGAATATCAACAGCTTATAAATGCCCACTGCTGAGCAAAGCCTCTCCTCACACGGAGAAGATTTGAGCATTAATCACCACGCTTGCTCAATGCGGGTTGGCGATAACTAACTTATAATTTGAAATTACTAGCCCAGGTTTCCTCACTATGTTTTCCTTCACCGTTTGTCAGTGGTGTCTAGATCTTAGAAAGTACATATAACTCGGAAAAAGTCACTTACCGTTGCTGGGTTTTGAAACCGCATCTGTGTGCATGAGTAGAGGGCGTCTCAAACCTCCAAGGCCACCACGACATATGAATTTAGAGAATATTTTGGAAAATTTTTGACTTAAGTAAGGTACCGCACTGCGTCAGTAATTTACAACGAACCTACTTGTGTAAGGAAAGCGATAACTATCGCAATTTTCAGAGCATCTACACACTTCTACATAAATCATTGTGCTTTCTTGTTTGGGCCTTGCAAAACAAGACTTATGGGTAGGTTAGACATGAGAAAATATTTATTTCTTAAACACTAACAACAAAAAGTTGTAGTAATAATAATTGTCATAAATCTGTTCTTAATTTTCCCATATAAGTCACGTAACTAAATAAACACGTATAAAATTTATTTATTTATTTTTTAATACAATTACTTTGCCATTACAGATAATTTAACCTAATTCGACATAGTAACTTAAAATACGTTTCCTAAACTATTAACTATGAACTATATTTAACTATAAACTATATTTCCTTACACACTATAGAATAAGTGGTCCTTGTGAACTCGCTCACTGTTCAGTTAAATATGTCTACGACATCAGCCACCGTGTTAAGAGTGCGCAAGGCACGAGTGAGCGGCGCGCGCTCCAGCAGGTTGGTGCGCGCCCGCGGCACCACCAGCAGCCGCGGCCGGCGCCGCCGCGCCACATAGTCGTCCGGCATACAAAAACCTATCTCTGAAAGTATACCAGAGTTTTGTATGTTACCAAAATAAACAAAGC